TTTTTTTTTTTTTTTTTTTTTTTTAACTAAGGATACATTAAGAAATCCACTAACTTGGAAACTAATTTTAAAATATGGTATATATTAGTATGTATATGGTCTTTATTTTTTCTAACCTGAAAATGGATACAATTTTATTACAAAAATGCAAGCCACAGTAATATACCCCAGAATAAACCCTTAACCTACCCAGGGAGTTCTCTTCTGCTGACTAGCTTACCTCACGCCAGAGAGTGCCCTGTAGGCTCCTGGGGGAGAAAAGGTATCAGCAGCCCTACTGAGTCTTGACCCTGCACTTAACACTGACCCAGTGGCAAAGTGTGCTCACTGCTGTCTTAGTGGCATGGCAGCTTTGGGGTTAACCAGCTGCCGTATGATTGGCTATGAGGCCTGCTCAACGGGAGGCATTTCACGACTGGTATGATAAACCTGGTCAGAAGCCTGTTACAGGGGAGATCATAGGCTCTAGCAATGTATTAATTACCTTTGTATTGTTGTGATAAAACGCCATAACCCAGGCAGTTTATAAAAGACAGTGTTTAATTGGGCTTCTGGTTTTAGAGGGTTAGCGTTCATAGGGGCAGAGCAAAGGCATGGAGGCAGGAATGACCACAGCAGGGGCCAGAGACCACACTGTGAACGGCACCAGTGACCACGACACACATCCAGTAACAAGGTCACACCTCTGAATCCTCGCCAAACAGTTCCACCAACTGGAGACCAAGTTTTTAATCCCATGAGCCCATGGGGGCATTCTAATTCAAACCACCACAAGTGGGTAACCTACTGCTGGTATTTTGCTAAGTGGCCATGCAGCCAAACTGGACCCTGCATCTTTATGGCTGTCTCTGCAGATTAGGGCTGCTCTCAACTTTGGTCAGAGAGGCTTCTTTTTGCAGTGAGCAGTGGCTACCACAGAGACTCAGAACCTGTCAAACTGCTGAATAAAAGGAACTCGGAAGTGCTCAGCTGTGGGTGGGTCATCTTGTCAACCTCCCACCATCCCAGGCTCAGGCAGCTTCGTAGGAGAGTGGGTGGAAGGTAAGAGTCAGTGGAGGGGAAGGAAGCCGGGAAATGCTGACTTCTGTACGTCACCACGTTATGTACTTGTTGCAGGTAACAGCTGTGTTACCTGCAGAAGACCTGTACAAGATCAAGCCAGTCAAGATTCCAGCATGGGATGTGGAGAGGTCCCAGAGGATCCATTCAAACCAGAGAAGCTCCTGGAAGTTGAGGGATGTGAACGGAAGGAAAATCATTCTTCTTTGGTGATGTGGCCATGCATAGGTTGACTTTACCCCAGTGGATAGTCATGTGTTCATAAGGACAGCTCTAAATGGACTTGGGGGGTTATATTACTAACAATAATAAATAAATAAATAAATAAATAAATAAATAAATAAATAAATAAATAAATAAATAAGGCATGAACCTAGGAGGGATTGGGGTGGGTCATTGCAGGGAGGGCATTGAAGGAAGATTACAGTAGATGGATATGATCAATATACACTGCATAAATACATAGAACTTTCAAAGAATAAAAAGCAATATTTGAAACATGTTTTCTCAACAAATGTGACGATTTGTGCTTTTGCTTCTAGTTCAGAGTTTGAATTGTGCAGATAGGAATTTCACAATTCACTATTGACTGTTCACTGTCCAAACACTACTGACTTGGTCTTTCCAAGGCCTTTTTATTTCTGCCATTCTTCTTCTTTGGCTATAGTTGTCTGTACCTCCTGAGGATGGAGAAAACATTCCTTGATTACACAGACAGTGTCACAGAATTCCTTTATCAAGCTTCCATATTAATTAATTTTAGGTTGACCACAGTAAGGAAGATCTAAAATCAGTTACTCTTTAAGGAAATACAACAACAACAACAACAACAACACACACACACACACAAGTTGTAAAATATAATGGATCCTGGATATGCTGGGCAGTGGTAAGAACTGGTCACTTTTGTGACTCATTATAACCGAGGAGTTCCAATTACCTCAATTATTCTTGGGTGCAAGCCTGAGTTCTAAGAAGCTCATCAACCTGTCCAGTACCATTTAGGAGAGTTCCTTTAGAAGGGCACAGTCTTCCTTATCTCTAGATTGTCATGATTTTCCTAAGTATCTGAAAGATCCAGGTGTGCCTACCAGATCTTAAATGCTCTCCTAAAGCCCATGTCAAAGGCTTAGTCCCCAGCTTGTGAGGAGATGGCATAAATCTTAAAAGATGGGGTCTAGTGGGAGTGTTTTCAGCCATTGGGAGTCTCCTTTCACTTCCCGAGCATAAAACTCCGTATTTCTAAAACACACACTTACCCACTTCTCTGCCTCAACTTCCCCACCGTGGTATGCCTCTTTGCCACAAGCAAAGCATCAGGGCCACTTGGCCATGGACTGATAAATGTCAACTCTGTTTCTTGGATAGAGCCTCCACTCTGTCTCTCTGTCCCCTGGAGAACTTGTCATCTATTTGGGGGGCGGGACTGGATCCTTTTCCCACTGCTATTCTTGATACTAATTATGAGGCTTTAGCCTAACTGTGGGCCTTGCCTTGGACAACTTCATCAAGACAGCTGGCTGGTCTGAGTGTGGCGTCTTACTGAAATAGAAGCGAGAAGGGACCAGGCTGTGACTGTGGGCCGTGGGACTTTGTTTCTGGTGATAATGCAGGAGCTGGCTGCAGTGAGAGAGGAGATACACATGCAGAGAGATTCCTGGTGGTTTCAAGGCTTCTTCCATCTATCCTTCAGAACAGCTGCATCTGTGACCTTACATCTGGTTTATCGGTCCTTTCCTCAGCCCCAAGGCTGTTAACATTTTTCATGCATAGTTTTACACTTGAAGCTAAAAAACAAATCTAGTAGATATAAGATTAGTTTTCTAGGTATTGTTTTAACAGCTGGTTACTGAGTTATACCCACACACCCATCTACTGTTTGGCCTGAAAAAGAGGAGCAGTGATCCTAAGGTGAGAGTAGATCTGAGTGCTCCCTGAGGAGGGCACTGTGCTCACTCCCTGGGGGTGCAGCCTCTATCATCCATCAACCCTGAGTCACACAAGCCCCTCCTTGAGCAGGAGCATGTTGTAGAATATCATTTTAAGATGTTGTTACATTTGTTTATGCTGTGGGACATTGGTTTAATGGTGCAAAGATGTGCTGCGTTCCTTTATGTTGCATTTGTTTAACTCTGTGAAGCTGTGTTACTGTCCCTGTCTAAAACACCTGAAGGTCTAATAAAGAGCTGAACAGCCAATAGTGAGTCAGGGAAAGGTAGGCAGGGTTGGCAGGCAGAGAGAATAAATAGAAGGAGAAACTGGGAGGAGCAAGAAGAAAGAAGAGCAAGAGAGAACAGAGACGAAGGCCAGCCGCCCAGCCGCCCAGCCACCCATGGAGTAAGATACAGAAGTAAGAAAAGGAAAAAGCCCAGAGTAAAAGGTAGATGGGATACTTTAAGTTAAGAAAAGCTGGCAAGAAACAAGCCAAGCTAAGGCTGGGCATTCATAAGTAATACTAAGACCCCATATGTCTTGGGAGCTGGGTAGTGGCCCCCACAAAGAGTAAAGAGCCAAAACAACCAACAACAGGAGCTCATGCGGAGCTGACCAGTCTCCTTCCCCAGACACAGTGTGGCTCAGTTGACTACCCTTTGTATACATTTCTTGGTGTGGTAGCATCCTTCTTCCTTTGGACACATGAAACCTTTAAAAACATGTGTCTTTGTAGCTATCAACTCTTTGTCATTAGAGCTACTTGCTTTCTAAGAGCATGTGGGGAAACATCGGGCTCATCTCTTTTACTTGGCTGATGTAGAAGTATTACTAGAGTACTGGGACTCCTTTTCCTGGTATGTGATTTGTGGTGATAAAATGTTCCCCAAAATATTGTGTACCTTAATAAACTTATCTGGGGTCAGAGAACAGAACAACCTCTAGATAGACATAGAGGATAGGCAGTGGTAGCACACATCTTTAATCCTAGCATTCCAGAGGCAGAGATCTGCCCGGATCTCTGTGAGTTCAAGGCCACACTGGAAACAGCCAGGCATGGTGACTCACGCCTTTAATGATGGCAGAAAGGTATATAAGGTGTGAGGACCAGGAACTAGCCTGGATAAGCCTGGTTAAGCTTTTAGGCTTTTGAATAGCACAGTTCAGCTAAGATCCATTTGGAGGAGGACTCAGAGGTTTCCAGTCTGAGAAATTGGTGAGGTGAGGGAACTGTGGCTTGTTCTGCTTCTCTGATCTTCCAGCATTCACCCTAATACCTGGCTCCAGGTTTGTTTTTATTAATAAGAACTTTTAAGATTTGGCCGGGCGGTGGTGGCACACACCTTTAGTCCCAGCACTCAGGAGGCAGAGGCAGGCGGATCTCTATGAGTTCGAGGTCAGCCTGGACTACCAAGTGAGTCCCAGGAAAGGCGCAAAGCTACACAGAGAAACCCTGTCTCAAAAAACAAACAAACAAACAAACAAAAAAATTTAAGATTCATGCTACAGTGATTTGTGCTATTTTCTTCAGCATCTCCTGTTCTAATGAAAACATGTAAGAGCTGACATGGACTCAGTTTAGTATGACTGCAACTGTCCTGTATCTTAATCACCAGGATTGCCACAGAGCAACAAGTCTATCTGGTTTCCCCTTCCTAGTTTCTGTCTTTAATTTTCTTTGCCTAATGACGTGGTAAAATCCTTCTAAAAAGCAACTTAAGGAAAAAGAGGTTTATTCTGGCTTGCAGCTCATGGGTACAGTTCAACACGGTGGGAACTCAAGGAGCTTTGAGGCAGCTGGTCACATGACATCCACAATCGGAAAGAAACATTCACCTCCCCCTTCTGTTCAGTGCAGGAATTCATGCCTAGGGAACGATGTTGTCAAACTTCTGGCTGGGTCTTCTCACATCAGTTAACACAACTAAGATACCACCCCCATCCTGAGACTCCAGCCTGGGTCTCTGGGAGATTTGTGTGGCCTTGGGGGGTGTGTATCAGTGGGGACGGGCTTCTTGCTGTTGCCTACTTTCTAGAACAGAGTGCCATATGGCTGTGCCCTCAGAGAAGGGGCAAACGCCCCACATCTGTCAGGAGAGAGATGCCTCAGTTCCAGTTGTGAGCCTCTGAATGCCAATTGTTTTACATATTGTAAGCCTGATTGGCTAGCCAAGCTCAGTGGCCCTGCCTTCAGTTCTCAGAGGACAGCAGGGATATCAAAACAATACTTGAATTTCTTTCACCCAGTCCTTGGCAAGAGGAAAGGGATGATAATAACCTAATAAGCACTTGCTTATGTAATCGCACTTAAACCTTCCAGCCAGCCCACAAGCAGCCTTCAGTACTGTTTTAGTTTTCCAACACTGCAGTTCAACAGTACCCAGAATTCTTGATTTAAACAAGAAATAGTTATTCTTTTGCAGTTCCATAGGTCAGAAGACCAAGTTATGGTAAGGCTGTGCTGCTTCTAGAAGCCCTAGAGGAGGATACTTTGTTACACGTCCCTCATTCATTGGTGGATGCAAATCCTTTTCGATTCTTGGGTCCTAGACATATCACTCCAGTTTCTGCTTCCACCTTCAGATAGGAAATTCCCCTCCCCCACTCATTCTTCCTTGTGTCATGTCTTCCTATAGGCCGTCAGGGCTGGATTCAGGGAATGAAGTAAAGTGTGGCTTATCTGTACTTGTATATTAAGTTCATCTGCAAAGATACTATTCTCAGAACGCAGTGTCACAAATCACCCATCACCACTTTGTAGATTGTAGATGTAACCAACCGTCTTATTAAATAAGAAACACAGAAACAATGTAAAAGAGAAAGCCGAGAGGTCAGAGCTCAGAGCTAAAATCTCACCCTTCTGCCTGCGGTGTCCCAGCTTC